TAAAGAAGCGAAGTTTATACTGTCAAGGGAATTCTGTAATGAGCGAAACAGATGATAATTGAATGGGGCAATGTCGGGTAAATATGATGAATGAGACAAAACGTCCCAGTTAAACTCTAGCAATTTGTACGGAAATTGAATAACATAATGTGTCGTCAAAATTCATTAATATCTTACATTTTCAAGCCGCAAAAACGACATCCGTAGTTTTTCAAACATTATTACTTACACTATAAAATATATTCTGAAATGTTAGCTATAAAGCATATTTCACGCAACACAATGTCTAAAATAGGGACATAACCCCTTGTCCACAACCTTGCTTTAATTCTTAAGCCGTAAGAAATTGACCAACCGCAGTTGATTATTTTTAAAATACCTTACAACAACGTGATTATTTTTAAAATACCTTACAACAACGAAAAGATACAGTCAGCGATAGAAAGGCCGCAATATTTTTTTCTAAAAGTTTTACATGACACGTTCAAATGCATTAGAAAAAAATTTTATTTAATAATTCTCAAAAAAATTTTTTTTTTTGCGATCTTTCTATACAAATGTAAGATCGATGAAAATTTTTTAGGGGCAATGGTCTGTCAGATTTTCAAACATATCTTATACAGTAGCGAAACGGTACTGCCAGTAAGACGAGAAAGATCGCAATATCTTTTCAATAAATCTCGCAACAAAGTTGGTCAATTTATTACGGCTTAAAGATTAAAGCAAGGTTGTGGACAAGAAGTAAGATGTATAAAAGACGTCTTAAAGACATCTCTCAGACGTCAGAATATAAGACGTCTCTAAGACGTCTTTATGATGTCTTATGTCCCGATTTTAGACGTTTTGTTATATGGGATACATAGATAGCCAACTGCGTGCATGGAACTGTTCTCCTAATACTAACATGCGAATGCTAGCTAGGCAAAAATCCACACGAGCTTATGTAGGTCGCGACTCAATAAATTACTTTTATTTCTTATTCCAATTTACACCAGGCTTACTCTGCGCAATTCAAACGAGCCTTCAGGTCGGGGTCCAGCTGCATGTAGGCTCTTTTACTTCGCGTATTGGCGATGTGGGTGAAGAAAGTCGCGAGAGTCGCGAGAAGACGAGAGTGACAAGGCTCACGACAAACGCGCCCTACGTTCTCGCTTGATCGATAAATCGAAAAGCGTGCTCGCGCTCGCCGAGATATATCTCCAATTTTTTGTAGCGCGCGCTCTTCCATCCGCCGCGCCTGCACGCGGAAAAACATGCAGCGACGAAAAGAAAGACGAAAAATCGAACACAAATAATTGCACCCGCGAGAGCATATCCCGGCTTGTGTTGCCCGGCTCACAAACATTTTGCGCGCACTAGAAACAGACAGAGATCGACGTAGCTATGTCAAACGCAAACATTTACTTCACGTCACGGGGCTATTTATGTTGCATATATCGATATCGCCCGCGGTCGTTGATAGGACGCGCTATTAATCGACAACGCGAATCGCATACAGCGACCGGTCGGACGTTGTCGCGAGGCGATATGCGTCATTGTCCTGCAATATGCAGAGCGTGTATTTGAAGTAACAATCGTTGTCGCGGAAAATCGACTCGTATTAGAGGAGGGGAGGAAGGGAGGGAGGGGGAAGAATCGATGTGTTGCAAGAATCGTTGATAACTTCGTTCGAGGGAGAGATAAGTGATTTTACAAGCGCGAAATCGAATGACTGTTAGAAAAGTAGTGCTGGATAACGGTGGCAAATATTTTGATCGCACGTGTAAGTCGATGGCAGAAAGATTGTAACGCTTTTATCGATCCTCATAATCTCAGAACACATCCGGTGCCTAAAGGGGAAAAATTTATTTTCCGAGAATTACGACAAAACACGTTTCTCTGTGTGTGCATTTGGGGTGTGTTGCGAGATTTATTGAAAAGATATTGCGACCTTTCTCGTCTTACTGGCAATACCGTTTCGCTACTGTATAAGATACGTTGGAAAATCTAACAGACCATTGCCCCTAAGAAATTTTCATCGATCTTACATTTGTACAGAAAGATTGTAGAAAAAAATTGTTTTGAGAATTATTAAATAACAATTTTTTCTAATGCATTTGAACGTGTCGTGTGAAACTTTTAGGAAAAAATATTGTGGTCTTTCGCTGACTGTATCTTTTCGTTGTTGTAAGGTATTGTCGAAAAATTTGAGAAATTTTTGTAAATCCTTAATGGATTTCCATCAATTTTCATGCAAATGCAGAAAGACCATTTTTACCTTTAGAATCGATATCCAATAGAAATTTTACAGATTTCTGAGAATTAATGAAACAATCCTTTTCATTAATTTTTCATTAGTTTTTTTTATGTTGCATTCGAATATGCTGTGAAACTTATTGAAAAAATGTCCTTTCTGCTACTGATGGTATTGTTTCATTAATCTGTAAAATACATTTCAAAATCTAACAAACATTTTTATAAATCCCTAATAAATTCCCAATTTTATGCTCATGCAGAAAGATGGCAAAGTTTTTATTTTCACGAACTCCAGAATGCGCTTGTGATATATCCAATAGAAAAATTAACTTCTCGAAAATTACTATAAAACAAATTTTTTATTGCATTTAAATATGTTCCGCGGAAATTATTTTAAAAAAATATTGTGATATTTGTGCCATTGAGCACATTATTTCATCACTGTTCAGGAAAGAAATAAAGATTAGTTAGTCTTTTGAATTAAACTATGCGCGCGCACCGACCCTAAAGCCTATTTAGTGTGCGTTCGGAAACGTCATCCGGGTGCATCCGTTGCTTTGGAGAGAAATACGAGAGTGAGATGAAAAGAGAGGGAAAGTGCCAAGGTGATGTTTCCGAACGCACTCTTACATGTCGCTACAATCGCGGAGCAACATCCGGCTATTGTGTGAGAGCAGTTTTCCCCATTTGGGGTGTGTTGGCCACGTGGTTGGAAGGCAGTTCCGTTTTTGCCTGTGTGCTCACCACGTGTTTGGAAAAGAGCCTCACGTTCCTAGCTTGACCCAAGAAACAGAAAATTAAAAATGTGAAACAGCAGAATAAATCATTAGTTATTTAAGTAGAGAATAAGTTTACAAAAATAATCACATCATTATGAGTAAGGCACAAACTCTTCATTACGGAAACACTGCACCTTTCAGCGTCCACAGAAAAGATCCACGTTATACAATTATACTAAAACAGTTACTTTATATAAAACATCTTTAAAAATCCGACAAACCTTCTCAAGTCTCTAATATATTTTCATCAATTTCATTTGTGCGGAAAATTGCAAGGTTCTTACCTCGATAAACATCAGAATACCTCTGATATTCAATTTAAAAAATTAGATATTTAATCTCTGATATTTAATTTAAAAATTTTCTAGGGATTATTAAAAAAAAGAACTTTTCTATATCGCATTGGGATACGCAGCGCGGAACTTACTAAAAAAATATATATTGTGATCTTCCTGCTAAGCATACTGTGTGAGGATGATTAAAAATCTGACAAACATCCGCAAGCCCCTTGTGAATTTCCGTCGAACTCTTGCAGCTTTCGACACTCGAAGCCGACGATACGAGCGAAGGGAGCTGGCCGGCCGAAGATGACGAGCGCGAAACGCGCTTTCGCTCCGAAAATAACGCGGCCGTTCGCCGCGGTACGGCGGAATCTCGCCGCTCGCAATTTTAGAAGCCGCAAAGTCGATCGTCGCGTTCCCTCGCGCGGCCAAGTGACGAGGAAGAGAGACAGACTGGCAGGTAGGGAGGGTGGCACGGAGTGCACAGCGAAACGAGAGAGCTTCGTTCTCCCAGACAACGCGCGTCGGTTCCTCGCGTCGTAAAACTCCATCGCCACGTTCCCACGTGAATCATCTCGTCGGCCGGCTCTCTCCGTCGTATCCTCTCCGTCGCCCATCAGCGCGAACGACCGCGCTATGGAACCCTTTCGCGAGCGCTTCAGGTGAGGTCATCTCCTCCTCCTCGTCACACGCTCACGCGCGTTCGTTGAAATTCATCAACGAGATTCATCCCTCGGCTCAACGAGTTCGCGGAATTCATTTGTCCCGCGGTATCGATACAATTATGCGTTAATCCCAGCCGCCTCTGGGGTGCGCGGGCGCGCGCGTGTCGTCTGCCTGGAATTAACAGTGCGGCGGTGTGTGGATATATAGGAACAGACTCCGCGTGCAGGAATCTCTATTTCGATGTAGTCTCGACCCGATGACGAGTTGTCACTCACTGCGTGCTCGCGAACACGAAATTGTGGAATACGTTGCGAAAATCGACGAGGTGCTTCCACATTGACCGAACGACGAGCTTCCGTTGTGCGCGATTGTGCATCCCGTAGACTGATTTCGTGGCGAAGAACAAACGATTCCTTCACGTTCTCGTTTGTACTATCTGCAATTAAAAGCTGCCTTTAATTGCTCTTGCTTGCTGCAAGAGACTGCGATTAAGAGAAGATCGAATCTTCGTCCTGCTCTCTTAAAGTGAATCAGCGAAAATGCTTCTGATCGAATCAGTCAGAGGAGTATAATTTCACCGCTAATCAGTGAATATTCACTGATTTTAGTGGAAACACTCCCGCTTTACAGCTTCATCTTATGTCCCATTGATTTTGAAGTGGAAGTAAGATTTTATTGTAAAATTTATAGTACACAAATCCGTTTTATGTCGTGCCAAACACGACTTTCCGCGTTTGTGGCCGTGGACTTAACAAATCCCGTGCGATTTGCGTGCAATTACGTCACCGTCACCGTCTGTGTATGTAAACTACATCAATAATAAGAATAGTCGTTGCTATCAACTGATTCTTTCAGCGAAATTTTACTGATTGCTGCGCTATATTTATAAATGAACCTCACCAGTTGTAAATATAGCGTGTTTCAGTGAAGAATACAATAATTGCACTTGAGAGAGTGTAGTTGTGCGACTTGTAGGACTAAAGGATCTTTCACATCGAGTAAGCTTGCACCGTGTAAACCGTATTACTTTGGTTTGCAGATGCCTTTCACGCTGTAAAGTGATCCTCGTCGAAAGGAGCTGTACACTTACGATGGGCAAGCTTTTGAGTCTTTTGGCTCGGGACGAGTCTACCTGTTGCACGCCTCAAAAGTACGACGTCTTCTTAGATTTCGAAAGTAAGTGCTACATTTCGTTATTTCTTTCGCGTGGGGAGTTTCGACGTTGATTCGCGCGATTTGCATACACGCTGGTGTTTCGTAACTTTGTCTCTAATTAAATATCATTTGAGAAATATCATCTTATGTAGCGTTACATATATAAATACTGTGTAACAAAGTAGCTAATCTCGAACGTCGGAGAAAGCGATAGACCCGCGTTAGCATTTTACTTTGTTTTTAATTAAATATCCTTGAGGCAGCGTTGTATATATATTTTATGTAACAAAGAAGCTTATTTCTAACGTCGGAGGTAAATAAAGCAATAAATACACACAGAAAAATATATACCGTGTTCAAGACAATGTTATTCACTTGTTTCAAATATCTTATAAGTTTATATTCGTAAATCTCTATCAAACTTATCTATTTATTTATCTATCAAATTTATTCATTTAAAATACATTCTAAATCCTATGTTTAGCATTTTAGTCAAGAATATTAAATCAAAGCAAAAGTTCGGCTTATTTTCTACAATTCATTCACTTCTGCATGTCGAACCAATTTTTTTTATGATAAAATTTTGTTATAATATTCTGGTAAAAAGAATAAATCCTTCTTTTGAGTACATGATAATATATATGAACTTTTAAACATATAAAAAATATATATATAGAAACATTATATATATATTTTTTTTTTCTTTTAAGGCTACATAAGCTAGATAGACAGGTGTAAATTTGACAGCAACTTTATTTTTAAAGGTTGTGTTTCTTACAAGTTCATATGGCATGCATACTTGTATCATAAAAAACGGCGAGATAGAATCACGAAATAAATACGAAATAGTGAAAATTTGCTAGAAACAATATGTCGCGTGAAATATAATATAGGAATTTGAGCGCAATTTTTAATAGGTATCTTTATATTTAATAAGTATCGATTTTTAATAAGTATATTAATAAGTATTATAAGCAGTAGAATCATATTTTTCTGTGTGTACTCGCTAATATTTTGCGACTTCGATTTCAATTAAATACCCTTCGAATCGTCCTTTAAAAGGCAGCGTTATACAGAAATACTGTGTAACAAAGAAGCTTGCATGCAACGTCGACGGTAGCTCTAGATTCTGCCCGATAAGGAATTTTGCTCGATTGTCGCAACGTATGTGTGCCGTTCGCTTATTTGCAGATGCGCAGCCATCGGATATCGAGCGCGAGACGTTCGAGGCGGTGCAGAGAGTGCTGAAAAACTCCGAATCCATTCTGGAGGAGATACAGTGCTACAAGGGAGCCGGGAAAGAAATCCGCGAGGCGATTTCGGCGCCCACGGAAGAATGCCAGCGGAAAGCCTACCTAACCGTGGCACCGTTGGTCGCGAAGCTCAAACGATTCTACGAGTTCTCGCTGGAATTAGGTATGCGGCACGCCTCATTAATCGTATTGACTGTACGACGCTACTTCCTCTCTCTCCCTCTCTCCCCCCATAAATAGATGTTGCACGCCACGCCTCGAAAATTCGATAACGACACGGATATCGGGAAAACTTCAACCCGCGCGCCCGCAAAATGCTCTCAGCCGCGCGCAAGCGACGCGAGCTTTTAATTAGACTAAGTATCGACGGTTATCGGAGGTGTTCGCGAGAAATGACTTTTCGCCGCCTGACTTTTCGACGCAGCGAACGCGAATTACTTCATTTATGTCCCGCTGGTCCAAATAGAATTCTAAATGTCGTGGTTAAAGGGATATGCCACACACATATACACATACATATACTTGAAAACAATATCGATGAAATACTGACTTTTCTCTGCAAAGTTTGCATCGTCTTAGCGTCGCGCAGAATTACAAATGCTTTTATACACTAAAAGTACATGTAATACTGAATTGAAGCGTTATTTAATATATGACAAAAACAATAAAAAATTTAACATCTTGAGCTGTTAATTCGTATAAATATTTGCTTGATTTAAAAGTTCTGCAGTTTGTAAAATAACGTATCACACATATTTTTGCCCCGCTAACGACAATTTTAAGAAACCTTTCTGTATTTGTATTTTAAGAAACCTTTCTGTTTGCAATTAAATTTAAAAGTTTACAAACGTATGAAAAATTTGCAGAAAGTAGTGCGTAGTTATGTATCCTGCTAGCATGGTAAAACAAAGCAGCACACATTTATATAAGATGTATATGTACAAGAAATACGAAAATGATAGTATGATTTGGACAGTGACGATCGCCTTTACGTTGTAGACACTTTTGGAGTTCGTCATCCATTTCAGCATCCTTTTAAAGGACGATGAATAAAATAGACTGACTTTTTTCCTAAAAAGTGCAATGTAATTTATACACGTAATATTACATTTTTTGGGTCGCTGAATATCATGGTGGCATTTTTATCCGTCTGAAAATCCGACAGAAAAATGACCAAAATTTGCCTTAAAGGACTCAAAATAAGTTACACTTTGAGTAGTAATTAATATTATTAATTGTATTAAATCAACTATATTAATATTAATTTAATTGTACGGGCATCACCGGAAGATTACACGGAATTAAATGTTACGTTTAATGTAATACGGATAATTGATATTGACATCGACAATGTTCGGATACTACTCGAGATAGTGCGAATCAAACGAACCAATAACTGAGCACTCGAAGAAAATCTTGTTATTGGAGTGAAAATTATCTAGAGCAAACGAGCAATTAGTTAAGATGGATATATGACTAGCACTGTAACTTCGTGTACGATTTGTATTCGTTCTCTAAATTTTTTTAGTGAAATTTTACTCGAAAAAAATAGAATAACAGTCGGATCACTCAAATTCGAGTTATTTTTCACTCCTATAGAGTGAATTATCCCCTCTGAATCGTCGAATGAATATTTCACTCGAAATTGAAGAATAAATCTGACTCACTCTACTGCCAGGGGAACACATCCATTGCAATCGATGGGAATATCCACTCATATGGAATCAGAATTTACTCTAATATTGAGTGAAACATTCACTCTTGTAAGTAGCAATATTTTCACCATCAAATTTTCACTTGAATGAAAATACTGCTACTTTCACCTCAAGAAATTTAGAGAGTAATCAACATAGGTGACAGAAAGTCTATACCTCAATTATTTGTAAAATTCAACAAGAACCTCAATGATCACTTTACTGTGCGATTCGTTACTTTTCACAAATCTCTCTCTCTCTCTCTCTCTCTTTCTTTCTCTTTTTTTTATTTAATTTTGACGGCCGACAATGATAACGATCCCGTTTGTTTGCCCACACGCGCAGAAAGGGTTGTGCCGAAAATTCTGGGGCAACTGTGTTCGGGAAACCTCTCGCCGACGCAACATCTGGAGACCCAGCAGGCGTTGGTCAAGCAGTTGGCGGAGATACTGGAATTCGTGCTGAAGTTCGATGAGTTTAAGATGAAAACGCCGGCGATTCAGAACGATTTCAGTTATTATCGCAGGACATTGACGAGGGCGTCGCTGGCGCGACAGGACAACGCTGAAAAGGACCTAATCGTCGGCAACGAGCTCGCCAACCGAATGTCCTTGTTCTACGCCCACGCGACACCCATGCTGCGAGTTCTGAGTCACGCGACCATTACCTTCTTGATGGATGTAAGTGGTATCACCTCTCTCTCTCTCATTCTCTCTCTCTCTTTCTCTGTCTGTCTACATTGTTCCCGTCCGCGACGTAGCCGGGACAATTATTGATCCGGCCAGATGCTAACTGATGGCAATTAGGCGAAATTCTGCGGTAATCCAGGCCTCCTCGGTATATGCGCCTTAATTGACGTATTCCGATGCCGCCACTGGCAACGAAAGGCAACGCTCTGTTTCGCGCCGAATTATGCGAGACGTAGAGTCGTTATTCGCTTCGTTGAGATCGAGAGCTCGGGCTTATAATGTATGTATGTAATATATCACGATATATTAATGTATCTTCTTCAAAGATCGCGAACATATGAAACTCGCCGCGAGTAACTCTTCGGGGGAAAATTGACGATTCCACATTAAGGGGATGCCGTGACGCGGAAATTTTATCAACAAGATACTGACAAGTTCTCTCAAAGTTTACGTCGTATTGGTTGGACAGAATTACAAGTGCATTCACACAATGAAGTACAAATTAGTTCAAGTATAGAAGTGAGTAGGAGCAATACTCAATATGTGACGGAAACAATTCAAAATTTAAAACTTGACATCTTGAGCTGTCAGTTAGTGTGAATATTTTCCTGATACAATAATTCAGCTTATATATTCCAAATGTGTGTTTGCTCGGTTCAAGAAAATTTCAAAGAATATTTCTGTACCTTTGTAATTGAATTTAGAGTAGCTTGAAAATATACGAAAAGTTTGCAAAAAGATTTCTACATTGTGTGTGTGAAAATATATCTAAAAAATAAAAAAAATTTTTTATTCTCTCTTTCTCTTTTCTCTCCATAGATATTAATAACATATTTACTTAAATCTAAATCTAAATCCTTTTATTTAAGTAGAATAAGTAGTTTCATGAAGAGCTAATATATTTTAAGAAAATGTATATTTTCTTATTTGAAAAAATATTTTACATTAATACAAATAAATATTGTAATCCATAATAATGGTATTAATAATGTTATTAGTATTCTTCGAATAAATATTGTATGTTGTATTTCTTAGACATGTTTTCTCTCAGTGTAGATACAAGAAATACGCGTAATCGTGTGTTTATTTGACATGACGTTTTGACGATCGCCTTTACATTATCGACGTTTCTGGCATTTGTCATCCACTTTGACATCCCCTTAATAGTTATGAGATTTTCTAAATCAAGCTCACGTAATAGCTCATGGAGCTCCGAAATGTACATTCTGTACGATCTGGATGCATGTTCTCTTATCATATCTCAGTGAGATATTTCCAGAAAAATAGCTCATGCATCGATTATCCGAGCGCGCAGATATTTTTCCACAGCACATTGAATTATTCGTTTTCGTCAGTATTGATCGCGATGACAAACAACCGCGATCGACACGAGATGTAATGACGGGGAAAAAGTTTGTCGACGCGAATAATGGGTCTGCTGAAGCAGAAAATTGACATGCATCCTGCTCTGCGATTTAAATTATCCCCTAGACTCCATGTGAATTGCACCAATCAAACGAGTAAAAATAACACGACGAGAAGTTCGATGTGCGCTCTAATTAAAATCGATTACGAAATAATACCGCGATATCGAAATGGTATCGTTGATTTGCGCATCGCAAAAATATGTGTATTTCACGGTGAGGCTGTGTATTTGCGACACGGACTCTGTGATACACATCAGGGGGTGAAAAGGTCATTGGCGAAGGGAGGAGGAAAAAAAATTCAACTGATTGGATGAACAAATTGCACACAAATAGAAGAAATTGTTGATTGATTGATCATTCATCAAATCGTTTGTCTTTCTTTCCAGAACGAAGACATCGCGAGGGAGAACATAACGGAAACGCTCGGTACAATGGCGAAAGTGTGTTTGCGAATGTTGGAAAATCCGTAAGTATCTTAAGGAGATCTACGTTTCGGGAGAAAGAGAGAGAAAGAGAGAGAGAGAGAGAGAGAGAAGGAGCGGGGGGAATTTCTCGCTGTGGCTAATTCGGGAAATATCTTCCCCCAGGAATCTGTTGGCGCAATTCCAACGTGAGGAGACCCAGCTCTTTGTTTTAAGGGTTATGGTGGGTCTGGTGATCCTCTATGATCACGTACATCCCCAAGGTGCCTTCGTAAAGGGTTCGAACGTGGATGTGAGTACCGGCAGAATCCGCGTCGCGAACGTTCGCAATGCGTGACTCGTCCTTTCCGTTGGCGCTTCTTCGAGTGACGATTTTTGTGGGTTTCCACAGGTGAAGGGCTGTGTGAAGCTGTTGAAGGACCAACCGCCTTGCAAGAGCGAAGGCCTACTGAACGCCCTGCGCTACACCACGAAGCACTTGAACGAGGAGAACACGCCGAAGAACATAAAGAACCTGTTGGCCGCATGATTACCGAAGCAGCGCGGCTGCTGCATCAGGACCTGAGGCACAGTCGGCCGCATTTATTCGCGGACACTTCTCGAACGGTATCGTCGTTCTCGTACGACCGTCTCTGCGTCTTCGCGCGCGGAAGGTCCCCTCGCCGTCACACGTAAGACGTGGCCCGCGCGTCCGGACCGGGGTTGGTGAAACGCAACACGCGTGGTCGAAAGCTGCCCGTTAACTGCCGAGAAACGCGAAGTCTCCGAACAGCGACAGTCGCTAGCGGCGCGTATAATGACAAAATACTAATAATAATAATAATAATAATAATAACAATAATAATAATAATGATGAATAATCGTTAATGTAACGATCGAGTACAGCCAAGCGTCCGGTCGTTGCGTGCTCCTCTTATTTTCCTACGATCATCCGAAAGTACATTAATCCTTATTATTATCACCAACGACGTCACTTGGGATCGATTTTTCTATAGCAGTTTATATTTCAACTTTAAATTTAATTTTAAACTTAAACTTTCAATTTAATTTTATATAATTTAACTTAAGTTTCAATTTCAATTTAAATGTAGACTTTAGTTTTAATTCCGTTGAAATCAAGTGAAATATATGCAAACTGAAATAAGTGCTAGGTCTATTTATGCGGGATTAGAGAGAGAAAGAGAGGGAGAAGGAGAGAGAGAAAGAGTGTACCTGAATATCTCGAATGGCTCTGTCTTTATCTATCCTTTGTTGATTCTATTGTATCTTATCCTCCCCATTTTCAATCGCAGTGTAACTCAGACAAGGATGAGTGAGAAAACAGGGACCTCTCCTATTCTCTCATCCTATATGGCAGCGCATATTCCAGTTAGTATATATTTAGTTCAAACAAGTCGAATTCATTGTTAGAACAGAGCTTAAACTTTCCAGATAACCAACTGTACATGGAAATTCGGCAACAACTTTACTAGCCGATTTATGAAGGTTGTGTCCCTTATAAGTGACCTATATATGACATTCATATTTGTCACATAGAAAGACGAAAATGATAAAAATTTACTCAAAACAATATGTTGTATACAAAATTTAACATGTGGAAATTGAAGTGCAACTTTTTAATACATTTGTTGCTGCAGCGATATAATACAAAATTTTCATTACTATATGATGTAGATTTGATGATTAATTTAATATTCGTCTTATGGATATAATTGAAGAAATAGCAAAGTTTCCATTATCGACTATCTTACATTGTGATAAATATGAAAGTCAATGTGAATCTAAGTGCAAAACTTATCTAAGTTTAAAATCACTATTGTAAAATTGGCTCTTATATATATATATATATATATATATATATATATATATATATATATATACATTTAGGAAAACAAGACGACGCAAGTATTATTTTACCTTTGTTATTCATTGAACATAGAATAATGACAGAATAATGCCTATATCGATTTGTGTTACTAAACGGAAAACATCCACTGTCACTGTCACTTTCAAATGACTTCATTCCAACGAAAGAAGTATCGTCGCGTCGCGACAGATCTTTCATGTCTTCGTTTCCTCTAAACGTTAAACGTTCTCACAAGACACTCGTCGACAATCGACGCTTTGACCTTAGCAGTGAGTCGCGCGAGTCACCAGTTCGTAGAGTTTGCATTTTTCTCAACGATAGGAGGAGAAGCGAAAACGAAAGTAATCGCTAGAAATTTTTACGACCGGATATTCACAGTGCACGGCGACGTTTGTCCTTCTATGCAGACACAGCGTTCCAACAGTCGCGGGGTAGTTTTATTAAGCCATGATTTCCACCCGGACGGCATGAGAAGTTAATTACGGCATATCATATATAGTGTATTTAGGGTAATTTGGAGTGTGGACTTTTGACGGTGTTACGGAACAGGAGAAGGAGAGAGAGAGGGAGCGGGAGAGAGAGCTTTAATCACGTTATGGATATTATGGAGATCTTTAGCTCTTGTTTACTTTGTTGAATAGCGAGCGAGAAAAGGATTATGGCCCGTGCTAACAGTCACTACTTGAAACTTGTCCCACTTGAGATACTCAGATATGAATTTAGAGGATTTGGATTGAATTTTCGTATTTGAATTGCACAATGTTTGCAATTTACATTTGCAATCGCGATTCAGCTGAAAGATTCGCATATCTAGCTCGAAATTCGAATTTGAGTAGCCCTCATTCGAGGTAAGTTTCCAGTAATGACTACTAATACGGCTCTATGAGAGCGGTTCGTAAGACGGCGGCGAGGTGTGTTGCGAGTCGCGAAGTCGAATATACTGCCGGATCGTCGGGTATGATCGAATAATCGATAATTTCGTTTCTTATCGCGTCGCAGTATTCGTATGTCTACCGAATATTCGGACATTTACAATCGAAAAACTGTCAAGTATTGTTGCACCAGATCTGAGTTGATGATCAATCTGAATGAATTATTCAGCGGGGAGCATCCTGTCCCGTCGACGAACGAAAGAACCAAAGATTGTTTCTTTTTAGTATATAGTAAAATTGCGAAGACACTTTGAGTGTGATTTATTAACGTCGATCTCGCGAGGGAAGGCGAGTCCTCCTCGTTTCAGCTCGTTTTCTCTTGCGACTGATATCAAATCTTAGAGAACCCATGGTCTCTTTATTATTATTATTATTATTATTATTATTATTATTATTATTATTATTATGATTGTATACCATTATTATTAATATTCTCATAAATTGTCCTGCCAATGAAAATTCTATTCGTAGTAACCAACAAACACTCACACGCGCTGCAAATCCAAGTGCGTTATTCTGGCTAAATTTCTCTTTTCATATTTTTTACCGTTTTAAGACACGCCGTTTAATACGTTTAACCGTATTAAATAATAATATTTATACATGTTAAATGACGTGATTAAAACCACAAGAAACGTGTAAAGAGAGCTTGAACCTAATTACACGCTTATGCGTTTTAAAAACAACTTGGATATACAGAGCAATGCCGCGATATATGTCAGCGTATCACGTTGTTGTTTACACGATAACACGGAAATTCACATGCGGTAATTTCTCATTTTGCGCTATTTTGTTGTATATTGCCCTCTTAACAATCCTTTCACACTTATGAGACCGATCTTTCACGCAAAACGTTTGGTTGAATTTACCAAACGTCTGGTGATACGATAAATGTACTGGAATTCCGGTTGAAGTTATCAAAATTCCGTTTAAGCTAACGAGATTCTAGTTAACTAGAACTTGCTGTTCGAATTGAACAGAATTCCTGGTAACTTCAATCGGAATTCCGACTTCTTCATATTTCATCAGACATTTGGTTAATCCAACTGAAATTCTTTTTGCATATTATAGACATTTCTTGCGTCAAGAATTCCGTCATGGTTTTGTGTTATTCGTACAATAATGGACCTTTTAAATAATCTATTTATTGTAATGGTAAAATATTATTTTGTTGTATTTTACATATACATAGGACTTCCAATTAGTCATATGCGTTCACGTATGCGATATTTTTGCAGATCGAAAGATTACTCGGTATTTCATTTTTTCGCATAGTTTTCGAAATAAAAATTCCGCATGAAACTTGTTGACGGGTGAGCCAAGATTTAAGACAGTTCACATAGCGCACATTTTCATTGTCACATCGAACAAATTTTCGCGACCAAATCACAGATATTTGAGAGATTGTTCCTTTTTCTATATGGCACAAATATCAGGGAGAACTTGTAGAAATTTTCAAGAAAGAGAGGAAAAAAAGAGAAGGAAAAAAGGGAAAGAGGGATAAAAACAGAGAAGAAGAGGAAAAAGGAAAGGGAGATGAAAAAAGAAAGAGAGCGAGAGAGAGAGAGAGAGCATTGACTTAGCGTAACGTCTCCCTGCAGGTTTTAAAGATTAACACTTTAAAGACTGTTTTGCCGATCATAATCTGGAGTCTGTGTAAGTATTATTACGTAACCGAGAAAATCACACGTTTAGATAAGATTACACCGGAAAAACGTTCGCCATTAGCGAATCTCAAACACACCCACGACTGTATATATATATATAGATTGTTATGACACACACACACACTATTGATATCCGCAAATATATTATACTATTGTACTGGCACTCAGATCGACAGGTGCCCCGAATTATTGCCTTGGAAATTTTTAAGGGAAACAAACGAAAATGCGAAAAAAAGAAACAACGGATACAGCATTCGGTTACTCTTGCGTACCTACCGTTTGTTGCGTACGCTTTATTTTATATAATTCAACGTCAATTGTGTGACACGAGAAATATTATTATTATTATTATTGCACGTATTACGATTGTATTTGCGGTTGCATTAAATTAAATTAATGTCCCCTGAAAAACCACGAGGTCTAATAATTGATTTCACTCTCTGGCACACGGAAAAATAACTAAATAAGGACCACAGATAAAACACTCACTGACGAGAAATAATATCTCTGTTATCTGTTATTTGTTTGTGTTAAAACTCGGTTGCGGTAACTAGCTGCAGAGCAATTGACTGAGTAGAAATCTCTCACAGAAATTTTGATGTTTTTACAACTGAGTTTTTCATCTCTGGTCCCCAGATAACAGAAAGTTCAACCACACTTGTTGACAAAGTTTTTTTTTCCATGTAGAGCGCGCTTCCTCTCAAGAAACGTGTACGCCCGATAATTATCGTGCACGACCGTTCGTATCAGAAACTTTCTTCATTACTATTTTATAAAAATATTTCTATTAATGACTCGCTAGACAAACCGGATGCAGTTACACGTATCTATTTGTTACCGCACGTTAATTACAAAAACACTATTTGCGTGTGTGTAGCAGGTAAACATTGCTTTTCCGTGTAACTTGAACAACACTTATTAGAATTATTCAAAGAGAGAAAGAGAGAATAAATCGAAAAGAACCGATTAAATGTTCAATATACGAACACAGTGTTGATAACGTCCTACTGTCAGAATATTGACGAAGGATTATAAGAGAAGAGAGAGAATTATTTTATTAATAAATAATTTATATTTATTGACTATGATAAAGTAAAAATTTTCACTTAAAAATTGAACAGAATTTTTTGACTGACCTAATAAGTGACTTACGCGCGATAAAAGTAAAAAAATAAAAATGATAATTTTTATCGTTACTCTAGTTGCTCTTTATTAATTTTCTTACAGAAGAAGATTTACTCGCAACTTACTTTGAAGTTAACAATGAATGTGAAAAAATAATTTTTTATTTAAAAATCGAACAGAAATTCTTGACTAACTTCTTGACTAACAAAGTGATTTACGATAAGAGTTGAAAAAATATTTTCATATTATAGTAATATTAATTATTTTAAACGTTATTCAAATTATTTTTTGTAATTTCCTCGTTAAAAAAGGACTTGTCTCACAACTTGCTCTGAGGTTAACAATAAAATGTCAAAACAAAAATAAATTGATAAAGAGTCAAATTTTTTTCATAAAAATTGAACAGAAAGAATTTCTTAGCTATCCTAATAAATGATTTACGATAAAAATAAAAAGAAATTATGATTATTTTGATTATCTCTTTTTATCTTCTTACAGAAAAGAGGATTTGGCTCAACGATAAACTCTGAAAGTAACAAAATATCATGACGAATCTCTCATGACAAAAAGGTAGCGTTTAAAAATAAGAAAATCTTTACCTAGAGTAGATAAGTGTGTTTCCGGGACACGATAACCGACTTTTTACACGAGAATTATTTGACTAACAGCAGAGAAAAATATGAGAGCGACACCAGCCTGATTTCAATGGCCAGAGCTAGACGCTTTTTCGAGACGCCATCTAACAAAGTGCACCTTTACTACGTTCGTTAGGCGCATTTTCGCGATGGTAACGATAAAATGCGCCTGGCTCGTGTCTGTTTTACTTCCATACAATGATAATAAGTTAGAAAAAAACAAAGATCCAATCGCTTTATTCTTGTCTCACCACTGATGAGCGGACCGCGCGACGTAGGCACAAAGTAAGCTAGCGGCGATATTATCGCAAAACTAGATCATCTCTTATCAGTCTTGTCTATCTTGAGCTGCGTTCTATGTAATTTTGCAAGAAAAAAAGATTTGAAAATTGGACAATATAAAACAATAAATAAATATATAAACTTAAACATGCCGCTCATATTTTTTGCTTATTTCTCGACAAAAAATATCGATGTGTTTCAAAGAAAACAAAGTTTTTCACAATTTATCCTGTTGGAATTCGAAGTTTAGAATAACAGTAATAACATTAATAATACTGATAATACTAATAATATAATAATACTATTAATAACGGTTCGTTAAATAAGCCGTAGAAGCTTTTGTGCGTACTTTTTAACGTCGCTGACAGCCTTTTTACTACCGATTGTATTTCTCGCACATTTCTCGGCAACCACTAAAGATATCAAGGGGACTATCTGCAAAGGGCACTATCTACCTTACAATTCATCTTTATTGGAATTGGTAATTTATAATAATATGAATAATATCGGAGACTCGAAACACCTCAGTTCGAATCCCGGCTTATACGTTTAATGGAAACTCAAAACATCTTGGTTCGAATCCCGGCTTATTAATTTAGCGGAGACTCGAAACATCTCGGTTTGAATCCCGGCTTAAGGAGATGCTGGAGTAGACAACAAACTTGCTAAGCGTCGATAATATAGAGGCGATTAAAACGATTTAAAACGTAAAAAACATTATCTTTATTTACCGATGTAACTAGGATTCATAAATGTTTTCACATTTTCGGTATCTAGAGAATTGGATTTTTTCGATCTGACGCATCGTTTCTTAGTAAGCGTAAATCGTAACTGTTAGTTAGTTGTCGGTTCTTTCAGTAATTAACAATCACGATACACGCTTACTAAGAAATGAGATGCGCCAGATCGAAAAAATCCAATTCTCTAGATACCGAAAGTGTAAAAGCATTTATGAATCCTAATATACTGATTTTATATATATAGATATATATTGATATTTAACAAGAGATGTATCAAAAGATGATATTCTTGATGTATCATCAAGAGATCTTGATATATCATTTCTTGATGTATCATCAAGAAATAATCCGACGAGAAGGAAACCTCCTGAGTCGAAATTTTAACTGGCCATTGTTATGCAAGAATAATCTAATTTAAAAAATTATAAGTTTTAATCAATGGATACTCCATTCATCTTTTTACATAAAACGAAAAAATCCAAGCTAACATCACCACAGAATTTAATTAAGAAATAATTTCCTTAAACACAATTTCTCAATATGATTATAATTAAAAATACCACATTTCTTGGTAGTACAGACTATGCTAAACAGAAAAGTAACAAAGAAACGACTGACAGGAACGCGAAAGTGGCCTTTTATTCTCAACTTCTTATGTTGATAAAAGTGTCCCTTAAAAGAGGCTTATAGCCAATCAGAAAGCTTATGAGCTACTCTCACACGAGTATTTTATAAAAAAAGAGAGGTTAGAATAAAGATCTACAAAGATAAAAACAAAATTGCACGTAGAAATGAGTTTTCGTACACGAATTTTCGTTTTGTATATATACAGCTTTCATTTTCAACTATTTACTTTTTTCCACCCGTAATTTAAGTGGCGTGATTAATACACGCTTAGATTTATTCACGCGTCGTATATTCTTCTCCCCAGAAGGGATTTCACCTCCATTGAAATGTAATTTGTCGTCTTGTACGACAAACGCGTATCCATAAGAAAATATCTTTGAAAAGATAGTATGTCGTATAATAATACGATATAACAAGTTATAAAATATATTAATCAAATAGTATATATAAAGCATACATAGGGTATATGTAAAAGATATATAGAGCATAAAACAAGCATATATAATATATATATATATATATATATATATATATATATATATATATATATATAGCATATAAATGTGACATGTTAAAATATATCAGTTTAATGTATCATCAAGAAATAATCGGATGAGAAGGAAGTCTGCCGAATCGCAATTTCAATTGGCCATTGTTATGCAAAAATGATCCAATTCAAAAATTTATAAGCTTTTATCAGTGAATACTCCATTCACATCTTTTAAAGCAAACAACAAAAATTTAAGCCTTATAGATGCTTGAAATTAATCAAGAAACAGTTTTTTTATTTTTTACCAGTCCTTTCGCACATTTTTCTAAGGATTGAGCTGGTCAGTATTCTTAAAGAAATGGAAATGCTTAACTCGTTGAACTATTGCGAAAATCTCAGAGCTAAATTCTTTGGTTGGATCATTCTTACATATCTCCGGCGAATTGCAAATTCCAATTCTTACTTTACTTGCCGTCAGACCCAATGCGATTTACGCCTACGTGCATGCAATCTACGTAAAGTGACGCTTTGTGTCTACTATATGAGTGTCTAAATTGAGCGCTCACCATTGCGCGTCGTCCCACGGTGTCCAGGGTCCACCAGCCATCCTGTCGCTGTATCTGACACTGCAATGGTCCTGGCATTCCACGACGCCTGTAACTCACCCCTGACCGAGGTAATCTAACTAAGGTTTGACGAAAAATCTCGTTTCTCTCGGGGGGTACACGCCGAGTTGCGAATTGCATAAATATTTGCATAATTGCATGAAATATCGCGAACTTCGAGGAAATGTTGGCTTTTCGGATAAACGACGAGTATGTACGACGAATTCAACAACGGTCCGATCGAGTTGTAGTGTATCACTTTGATACACGCACAACGCGAATCGCTTACGAAGAAAACAAAATCCGCGAGCGAAGAAAACACGCGACGCGACGCTACGCGAAACGAAGGTCGATCTCGCGAAATTTTTCGACGCGTGGGCGTCGAAAAATAATCTGTGCGAGATTCTCACATACGACACGGAATATCCCTAATGTAACGTTTCGATGGTGCAGCGTAATAGGCTGCAATACAGGCGTATTTTATTGTTACCATCGCAAAAATGCGTGATCATTAAATTACCGTCGTAAAACCAAAAATGCCAGCATTTTATTGCATCAAAAAATGTCGCAACAAAAAAATAGATGGTATTGGACGTTATTTGCTCTGCTCATTTTCAACAAAAAAAATTTATAACTAATCGTAATGAAAATATGTGGCGGTAGCGGCCATTTTCTTGTATACACCGGAAACTTTGTCGGACACAAACCATGCTATATGCAATGATGGTGTGTTAGCAATCTAGTTTAGTATAGACATCTGTGCAGTAAGTACAATAACACACTCTCGATATCGTCCGTCGATATATCGCAGTTTCTTTCATCGGCAACCCATAACTCGGGCGATCTGAGTTCCGGGGACTACCAGCTGCTACCAGAGAGAGCTGGTGATCGCACAGCAGGTGGCGCA